ATCTTCAACATGGCCACAAGATTGTTCCTACTGAACTACGTCTGACCAGGTCGCTTAGGCCCAAATCTGCCAGTTGCTTCCCATCTTATTCAGGGTAAAAAATAAAGCCCTGAGAGTGGTTGGAAAGTTCCTTCAAGACCTCTCTCTACTCTCCCCAGTTTTCTAGCATCCCCACTCTTTCTAGTCTAGGAACACTGATTCTTTGTCCTCCCTTGAGCTCAACATGCTGGCCTTTGTCTAACTACCTTTCTTCTTCTTTCTTCTTGCTTGAAATATTCTTTCCTTTTACTTTCTCATCTTCTTTGGTTCTTTACCCAAGTTATTTTCTCAGTAAGGCCTTCTCTGTACACCCTACTTAAAACTGCAATCCCTTTACCTTCCCAACACTGCTTATTTTACTCATTTTTCTGCATTTCACTTCACACCATCTGACATAATATCTACTTTTGTTTATATTTGGTTTCTTTGCTACCTGACTTGAAATTAACCAACACGAAAGCAATGTTTTTTTGTTTGTTTGTTTTTATTCACTGTCTTGTCTCCAGAACTTAGAATAGTTGGCACATAGTCATTGTTCAATAAGTAATTGTTAAAGGAATGTTGTTCTTTTTAAAAGTGCTCTCTGGGATGGTGTAATGGCTATATTGCTAGATTATCATGTAATTGACCACAGTTCCAGCCTCAGACCTGTCGGCTTAAAACTCACGCCAGGAACGCAGGTGCGAGTGCCCAAAATCCCAAGAGGAGAATGCAGGAGAAAGGATTGAAGCATGGCCATCCCTCTGGGGTGGACGGGGGGTGATTTCTCACTGTTTCTGTCTCTCTGGTGAGTGCACACACCTTATAGCAAAAATACTTCTTAAAGCAAACAAAAAAAAGTGTTCTCCGAACCTCAAGGAAAAAAAGAGGCATTCTCTCTTAGGGCATCCAAAAAAATGATCTCATATATAAAATGTATTTGTTCATGGGTTTGGTCATATGATTGTCTATATATATATATATATATATATGTTTTTTTTTAATTGAGGTAATTCAAATAATCCTTGATTTCTATATTTCTCTTTTTCTTTAACATTCCTACCTTCAAGTTGTGGGCAAATTTCAGTGATCACCATGAAATGTATCAGAAATTGAGAATTTATTAATAACTCCACCTCTACCCTCTGGCCAAATCCACCAACATCTCTTACCTGGATTATTAAATAAAATCCAACATGTACTCCCTACTTCCATACTGTGCCTTTTAAATCTATCTTCAACATGGCCACAAGATTGTTCCTACTGAACTACGTCTGACCAGGTCGCTTAGGCCCAAATCTGCCAGTTGCTTCCCATCTTATTCAGGGTAAAAAAATAAAGCCCTGAGAGTGGTTGGAAAGTTCCTTCAAGACCTCTCTCTACTCTCCCCAGTTTTCTAGCATCCCCACTCTTTCTAGTCTAGGAACACTGATTCTTTGTCCTCCCTTGAGCTCAACATGCTGGCCTTTGTCTAACTACCTTTCTTCTTCTTTCTTCTTGCTTGAAATATTCTTTCCTTTTACTTTCTCATCTTCTTTGGTTCTTTACCCAAGTTATTTTCTCAGTAAGGCCTTCTCTGTACACCCTACTTAAAACTGCAATCCCTTTACCTTCCCAACACTGCTTATTTTACTCATTTTTCTGCATTTCACTTCACACCATCTGACATAATATCTACTTTTGTTTATATTTGGTTTCTTTGCTACCTGACTTGAAATTAACCAACACGAAAGCAATGTTTTTTTGTTTGTTTGTTTTTATTCACTGTCTTGTCTCCAGAACTTAGAATAGTTGGCACATAGTCATTGTTCAATAAGTAATTGTTAAAGGAATGTTGTTCTTTTTAAAAGTGCTCTCTGGGATGGTGTAATGGCTATATTGCTAGATTATCATGTAATTGACCACAGTTCCAGCCTCAGACCTGTCGGCTTAAAACTCACGCCAGGAACGCAGGTGCGAGTGCCCAAAATCCCAAGAGGAGAATGCAGGAGAAAGGATTGAAGCATGGCCATCCCTCTGGGGTGGACGGGGGGTGATTTCTCACTGTTTCTGTCTCTCTGGTGAGTGCACACACCTTATAGCAAAAATACTTCTTAAAGCAAACAAAAAAAAGTGTTCTCCGAACCTCAAGGAAAAAAAGAGGCATTCTCTCTTAGGGCATCCAAAAAAATGATCTCATATATAAAATGTATTTGTTCATGGGTTTGGTCATATGATTGGACTCCAAGTTTAACTACTGGACAGGGCCAGCTATTAACCTCACAGGACTCTGTGAAAAATGTAAATGTGGCTTCCCTTGATCAGAAATTATTAAAAATGTCAACATGGCAATTGACAAGCATTATACCCATGTGGGGCTCTTCTAACCACAAGTTGTATGCTTATGAAGTCTGCTCTGGGTATCTCTTCATTTTCATATTCCAATAGTTAGCAATGTTCCTGGTGAATAGTAGGCTCTCCATAAATGTTTTAAATGTTTTGGAATTTGATAAAAAGTCTACTTAAATAGCACCATCAGAAAATAGTTTTGATTTTTTAAGAAACATCAATAAAATGGGGGAATCTGAAGCAAGTTAAATGGATTTTTCTAATACAACAATTTGAAAGGGAAGTCAGGATTCGGTGTTGTCCTAAATTCTGATTCACTGCTTCAGTTCTGATCCAACTTTTTAGATCTTTCCAAATTTTCTCTCTCAGAAATTTAAAAATGAGATGAGGAAATAAGACATAATTCTGACCTGCTTTATCAAATAAGTCTTTATTTTATTCAAGGTGTAAACCAACTTCATTTTCCTTAGATCACAAAGGCAATAGAGTCAGTCAATGGTGTATATATTATTTGAATAACTGTATTAACTGAAGACAATATAATCCATAGAGATCTTTTCTCTTTTTTGGAGAGGTTTTTGCTATAGGGCGTGTGCACTCACCAGAAAGACACAGAGAGATAGAAAGTGAGAAATCACCCCCCGGGGGGATGGCCACACCACAATCCCTTCTCCTCCATTCTCACCTTGGGATCTTGGGCACACATGAACATGCACCTGGAGTGAGTTTAAGCCACCAGGTCTGGGACTCGAACCACGGTCAATTACATGGGAGTCCAGAGACAGCCATTTTGCCAACTGCTGGTTCCACAGAGATCTTTTTTTCTTGATACAAAACCAAATATATAGTCAAATACATATTGTATTTGACTACCTATAACTTGGTTTTCCAGTAGGAGAGAGCTATTTGCTATCAGCATGTTACAGTGGTGTGTTTTCAAGGAAATGGTAATTTGAAGATGTTTTTAATCCTAAAACAATATTCCCCAAAGAATAGGAGGTATGCCTATTTGACATACCGAAACCTAAATAAGGTTTCTTTAGAGAAAATAGTTATTCTATTTTTTTTTCTGTGCTGATTTTCAAGAGTCTGTGCATCTGAAATATACAATGTTCTGAAGAGATGGATGAAAATAGAAATGACTGCGTTAGTAAATGAGAGTGAGCCTTCTATTGGGGGCAGAACAATGCAGGATCTTCAGTTAACTTATCTTTATTTCTTCAAGGTCAAGACAGCCTTTTGCTATTAAGGACAACAATGATAATACTTCACACCTGTATAGTACCTTTTATTTTTCAAAGGATATATGTTTCTCTTCTCACAAAATCATTGTTAGGGAAAATAGGACAGGTGGGTTATTTTTATATCCTTCAGAGAATTGTGTACATAAGTATGAAACAAAATTTAAGGAAAAAGAGAAGAAAAGGAGTAGCGAGTAAAGTGAATGAGATTTCAGTGATCATTTAGAATAGATTATTTTTGCTATGGTTATAAATTCACTGCTATTTCAATATTATGTTATTGCCATGAAAGCATATCCAAAACTCTAAGTTTATTATCTACTTGCAAACATTATAAGAAGAGAGAAATACATGATTAATTCAGTATAGAGGTCAGTGTCATGAAGATTTTCAGTATTCCTGTACATCTCCCATATATCAGGGTTGTTTTCTCATGATTTTCAAATGAGAGGTAATGTTAAAATTGTTTACTTAAAGACCAGCAGATGGAGTAATGGTTATATCCCTGGACTCCCATGTAGTTGACCATGGTTCGAGTCCTGGATTCAGCAGCTTAAAAACTCACACCAGGCACATGTGCATGTATGCCCAAAATCCTGAGAGGAGACTGGAGAAGGGATGGCACCCCTGTGGGGTGATTTCTTGCTTTCTGTTTCTCTGGTGAGTGGACATGCCCTCGAGCAAAAATCTCTCTCTTAAAAATAAATTGCTCCCTTAATTAACATTTTCTAAAATCATATTGGTATTTTCTCTACATAATAAAAAAATGTAATGAGACTTCACCATATTTTTAAGGTTTTTAAAAAAGCTTTTTCTCTATTTTCTTCTTTCCTTCCTTTCTTCTTTTCCCTAATTTCTTTCCTTCTCTCCTTCCCTTCTTTCTTTTGAGAAACAGCTATGCTAGACATATTTTGCCTCATTTCTCTCCTTCTTTCCTTCTTTCCAGAAACAGCTATGCTAGACACTTTTTGCCATGACACCCACACGCATGCCTTCCAGCCAGCCGAGGTCACAGATGTGCCTGTGAGCATGCCCAGAAGGTTCAGGTGGACCCTGATACAAACACAGGGCTCTCCTACAGCTCCAGTATCAGGCAGTGGCACCCTACCACCATGCCATCCAGGTGGACCTACTTCACCATATTTTCAATTCAGTATATATGATGATATCATCTGAATTTAGAAAATAAGTGAAGAGAACAGTTTTGAACTGCCAAATTTGATATTTTGACAAATGAAATTGATAAAATATCATGAATGTTTTATTATTACAATGCTCAGTGATTCTATATTACATATAATCAGTGATTTGAACCAGTTCTAAACTTAGTTAATATCATTCAAAACATTTTGGAATGAAATAATATGATTAGTTGAGAATTAACTTATTTCTTCTGAAAAAATTAAATAAACATCATGCTTCTGCATATATTCTATTCTTGATGAGTCTTAAGAAAGAAATAGTAAATAAGATTTGCAAAACCTGGGAGAAAAGAAAACAATATGAGACTTAGTCAATCAGAATAATATATAAAGGTAACATTTACATTATAATCACCAAAATGTATATTGTAAAAGGAAAAGGGATCAAACAGGGCCAGCAGGTGGTGTGGTGGTAGGGGTGCTGGACTTCCACATGATTGATTGTGATTTGAGTCCAGGACAAGGGCAGCTCAAATCTCACTTTCTGTGTCTCTCTCTGGTGAGCACACCTTATGGCAAAATCATAAAATAAATAAATCTTTTATTTTCCTAAAAAAAAGATTCTACAGCTCAGATAAATTCAGAATAAGTTACTTATGGTTAAGAATAAGAAGTCAGCAAAATGAGCCTTCTAGAGTAACGCAGCTGATACCAAGTTTATGTATACAGGGACTAAAAAAAATCCTTTTAGTTTCTAATTATATGGGCTATCACTGGGCTAGATGCTTTCATGAGCTGCTGGTCTGTTTTTTGTTTATTATTCTCTTTCTAATGATATCATTAGTCCTACAAAACTGCCTCTTTTTTTGCAGTTTTGGCATAGGATCATGAGAGGGGGTGTGAAAAGCTAGAAGATAAAATAGAACAGAGACACTATTCCTTCTTCGAGTTCTGTCTTAAATACTCAGACATAAACACAACAGAGAATCAACATTATAAACAATGATACTAATGCTTATAGGGATGTTTTGGCTTACTACCATTCTGAGACTAAAGCAGTTAACCAGTTGAAGATGGCACCTTAGGTCGAAGGCTTTGTGAACTGATATAAAATCAGATTCGGGCTCAGCACCATATTCTGGCAAACCATGCAATATGTTTTTGTTCTGATCTTAAAACTCCACTATAGGGACCAGCAGTTGGAGTAATGGCTATGTTGCTGGACTCCCATGTAGTTGACCACGGTTCAAGTCCCAGACACAGTGGTTTAAACTCATGCTGGGCGCATGTGCATGTGTGCCCAAGATCCTGAGAGGAGAATGGAGGAGAAGGGATTACAGCATGGCCATCACCCCCAGGGGGTGGTTTCTGTCTTTCGGTCTCTGTCTCTCTCTGTCTTTCTGGCAAGCACACGTGCCCTGTAGCAAAAACCTCCCCCCCAAAAAAAACCCAAAAAAACAAAAAACAAAAAACCTCCACATTCCCATAGTTTCTTCGAATACATAACCTGCACTTGCTCTTATCAGTCTTCACTGCTTATCAATCCCAATTTTGCAACTGGTATCTTGGTGATAATTCATATATATATATACACACATATATGAAAGATGATAAGAAAGCCAGATATCTCAAAGCAATGAAATCACTACCTCCATAATGAACATTTATTAACACCTCCCTAATTCAGGGATGACCTCCAGCTGGACTTAAATATCTCCTGGGTATAGGGGCCAGCAGTTAGCGTAATGGTTATGTCGCTGGACTCCCATGCAGTTGACTGCGGTTCACATCCTGGACCCGGTGGCTTAAAACTCACGCTGGGAGTGTGTGCATCTGTGCCCAAGATCCCGAGAGGAGAATGGAGGAGAAGGCATTGTGGCATGGCCATCCCCCCTAGGGGGTGATTTCTCGCTTTCTGTCTCTCTGTCTCTCTAGCGAGTGCACGTGCCCTATAGCAAAAACAAACGAACAAACAAACAAACAAAACTCTCAAAAAAATAAAAATTAAAAAAAATATATCTCCTGGGTATAAATAAAGTTTCAAGGTCCTGGCTCTAATTGTTTTATCAGATGAAGTCTCCACCTTGTTGTTCTGCAGATCATTCTGTACAGTTTATACTTAATATTTTCTATCTTTAAGTATATAAATAAAAGCTTACCTCTGAAGCCAGAAGTCCAAGGTTAATTCCAATTAAGGCTAAAGCATTAACATGATACCATGCACTGATTTTATTTTCACATCCCTAAAGAAAATAAGTTTCCTAGATTGACCTGGAGGTGGAAGTGGTCTTACACATAATTCTATTATGAAGAAATAGCATATAGAAATAAACAATTTATCAAAGTCTAAATAGCAAGTCAATGTCTAACAGAAGAGTAAGCCTTTATAGTTCAGGGAGGTTCATGTCATATTAGGAAACCTCAGTCACTAATTTTAAAGTAACTAAGATGTTGTCCTGTCATTGACATCAGCACTTTTCTGCATTATGTTTTGGAAAGAGATTTTGTTTTCTGCAGATGTTTTCGTGGCTCCAGATGAGCCTTTACTCTTGCTTCTGCTGTACTTACCTGAATACCACTATTGTCATCACTACAGTTCCCTCCCTTTAGTTTTCAAAACTCATATATTCTACTTCTGACTTTGCAGCTCCCTTACCAATTCTATAATATATCTGGGTTAACGAAAGTACTCTCGTTTGTTTTGTTTTGTTTCCTTCGGCTTTTTGAAAGAAGGTGGGGGAGAAAGGTTGATGGTATCCTAAGGTCCAGGAACACTTAAATCATATAAACCCAGAAATTTTATTCAATTTACTTATTATATTCATGAAATAATGCTACTACTTACCTAATTATGTATTCAATAGAGTGAAATGGCTTAAAAATGTAGCCACAAATAATATTCTTTTTTTGTGTAAAAATTTGGTTGGGTCGGCTTTGCAGTCTGGAAGTTAAGACAGCTTTATCCCACATGGCCAACCGCTTATGAGTACCAGACCCAGCTGCTTGAGAAACACCACGTGTGTGTTCAAGGATCTCCCAAATCCCAAAAGGAGGAGGCCATTCTCCGCAGGGGAGATTTCCCTTCTCCTACTCTGTCTCTGGTGAGCACACATGGTCTCTAGCAATAATAATGATAATAACAAATAAACAAAAATTTGCTTAGAATTTTCAAATGACTGACACTAGCAGCTGTCATAATGGCTATGTCGTTGGACTCCCATGTAGTTGACTGTGGTCTGTTTTCTGCAGATGTTTTCGTGGCTCCAGATGAGCCTTTACTCTTGCTTCTGCTGTACTTACCTGAATACCACTATTGTCATCACTACAGTTCCCTCCCTTTAGTTTTCAAAACTCATATATTCTACTTCTGACTTTGCAGCTCCCTTACCAATTCTATAATATATCTGGGTTAACGAAAGTACTCTCGTTTGTTTTGTTTTGTTTCCTTCGGCTTTTTGAAAGAAGGTGGGGGAGAAAGGTTGATGGTATCCTAAGGTCCAGGAACACTTAAATCATATAAACCCAGAAATTTTATTCAATTTACTTATTATATTCATGAAATAATGCTACTACTTACCTAATTATGTATTCAATAGAGTGAAATGGCTTAAAAATGTAGCCACAAATAATATTCTTTTTTTGTGTAAAAATTTGGTTGGGTCGGCTTTGCAGTCTGGAAGTTAAGACAGCTTTATCCCACATGGCCAACCGCTTATGAGTACCAGACCCAGCTGCTTGAGAAACACCACGTGTGTGTTCAAGGATCTCCCAAATCCCAAAAGGAGGAGGCCATTCTCCGCAGGGGAGATTTCCCTTCTCCTACTCTGTCTCTGGTGAGCACACATGGTCTCTAGCAATAATAATGATAATAACAAATAAACAAAAATTTGCTTAGAATTTTCAAATGACTGACACTAGCAGCTGTCATAATGGCTATGTCGTTGGACTCCCATGTAGTTGACTGTGGTCTGAGTCCCGGACCCGGTGGCTTAAACTCGCACAAGGCGTGTGTACATGCATGCCCCAAGAGCCCGAGAGGAGAATGGGGGAGAAGGGATTGCAGCGTGGCCAACCACCCTGGGGGCTGATTTCTCACGTTGTCTCTTTGTCTTTCTCTTTCTGGTGAGCGCACACGCCCTATAGCAAAAAAAACCCAAAAAACAAAAAACAAAAAACAAAAAAACCTCTCCAAAAAAAAATGACTTGCAAATCAATAACAAAAATAAAAACACTCTAAACACTTGGAGAAGAATTGACTTATTCTTACCTCTAGGTAAATTGAATTCAGTGGCTCTTCACAGAACCACTTTTTAAATGTAGAATTTGTGCAAGAACATGGCACTTGCTTTGAATTTTCTTTATTCTTATTCTTTATCCAATCTGTGTAATTATGTTGGCCACAACACTGTAACTAGGAAAAAGGTTCTATAAATTTTACTGTAAAGTATTCAAAATGCAGTTAATTATATCATTCTCATACATACCGAAGTAGTTATTTGATGAAGATGATGCATTCCCTATTGAAATGTAATGGATGAAACACACAAGTGTGATTTTGATTATTTAATTCATTATTTTGTGGCTGGGTGTGCTGTCGACCAGAGTGAAAGATCACTACTCACGTGAGTGAGTTATAGTTAGATGAAATCATTATATATGAACTTTGTCTTATGAATGTCTAAGGTGGTAATATACTTGATTGCTTATGTACAAACTATGTTTAGGATCAGAATATAGAAGAGCTACTTCTTGCTCCTAACTATAGCAGTTTTCTTTACATTTATTCAGAGTATGCTGCTGTATGTGTATAGTATACACAAAAAAATTTCAGGGTTATTTGTACTTTCTTAGGATTAACGTGAAATGCTAACTTCCAATTTTGTATTGTGAGAAAAATCGCCACAAAGAGCCAAAAAAGGATAATAAAATAATCATAATGATCAAATATCTAATAAGTATCTCATTTCCTGTGCTGATTCTAGAATCCTGGGAGCATGTGAGTATATATCCAAAATACCAAGAGGAGAACGAGGAGAAGGGATTGTGGCATGACCATTACCCCTGGGAGGTGATTTCTTGCTTTCTCACTCTCTGTCTCTCCAGCAAGCAAATGCACCATAGAGCAAAAATCTCTAAAAAAAAATGTTTTTTTAATTTAAAAAAGGAAAAAGGTGAAGGATTGTTATTGTAAGTTATAACAACAGTACTGCCTGTGTTTCCATATGTACCAACAATCTTGGTACAATGTAGATAATATATAATGACTAAAACAATACTTCAGGGTTAGGATACTGAAAATTAGTTTAACCACCAAAGCTACTCATAGTATCTTATTTGTATTTATGCTAGGAACTGTAAGCTGGAAACCCACTAATAACGGCGATAGTATACACACAGTTATTTTCCCGCTTCTCATTTTATGACCATAGAAAGGAAGGCTTAGTCTTCTGCTATAAATTGTGATGAAATCTGAAGATGAGATAAATGGACAGATCACATACCTCAGAGAAAAATAAGATGAGTGGAAGCATTTGTAATTACACTTTCAAATCTCTTAACATGCATTTCTAATACTACATGTGCTAAATATAGCAGCTATTTTTACGTGAAGTATCTGGTATTGCAGTTAAGAGCACAGAATCTAACGCCAGAATATGTGGGTTTTTATCTTGGCTCTGCCTCTTATTAGCTGTGTGATCCCGGTTACATTACAGAATTTCTCTCTTCTTCGTGTATAAAATGAGGATAATAATCCCTACATCACTGGGTTAGGAAGATTAAATGAGTCAATATGTGAAAGCACTTTTGTAAATGTTTGCTGTTTTCTTTACTGAGCACTTACTATGTTCCAGGTACTGATTTATTTCTGTCAGTCATTTGGCAGACAATACTAGTTCTCTTATCCTTCTGCTATGCCTACTTAGAAAAGGCTGAACTGTGTGGGGCCAGCAGATGGCTTAATGACTATGTTGCTGGACTCCCATGTAGTCGACTGCCGTTCAAGTCCCGGACCTCGTGATTTAAACTCATGCCAGGCATGTGTGCATGTGTGCCCAAGATGCTGAGAGAAGAATGGAGAAGGGACTGCAGATGGCCATCCCCCCTGGGGGGTGGTATTTATGCTAGGAACTGTAAGCTGGAAACCCACTAATAACGGCGATAGTATACACACAGTTATTTTCCCGCTTCTCATTTTATGACCATAGAAAGGAAGGCTTAGTCTTCTGCTATAAATTGTGATGAAATCTGAAGATGAGATAAATGGACAGATCACATACCTCAGAGAAAAATAAGATGAGTGGAAGCATTTGTAATTACACTTTCAAATCTCTTAACATGCATTTCTAATACTACATGTGCTAAATATAGCAGCTATTTTTACGTGAAGTATCTGGTATTGCAGTTAAGAGCACAGAATCTAACGCCAGAATATGTGGGTTTTTATCTTGGCTCTGCCTCTTATTAGCTGTGTGATCCCGGTTACATTACAGAATTTCTCTCTTCTTCGTGTATAAAATGAGGATAATAATCCCTACATCACTGGGTTAGGAAGATTAAATGAGTCAATATGTGAAAGCACTTTTGTAAATGTTTGCTGTTTTCTTTACTGAGCACTTACTATGTTCCAGGTACTGATTTATTTCTGTCAGTCATTTGGCAGACAATACTAGTTCTCTTATCCTTCTGCTATGCCTACTTAGAAAAGGCTGAACTGTGTGGGGCCAGCAGATGGCTTAATGACTATGTTGCTGGACTCCCATGTAGTCGACTGCCGTTCAAGTCCCGGACCTCGTGATTTAAACTCATGCCAGGCATGTGTGCATGTGTGCCCAAGATGCTGAGAGAAGAATGGAGAAGGGACTGCAGATGGCCATCCCCCCTGGGGGGTGATTTCTGGCTTTCTGGCTCTCTGTCTTTCTGGCAAGGGCACACACCCTATTGCAAAAACCTCTACAAAAAAAAAAAAAAGAAGAAGAAAGAAAAGAAAAGAAAAGTCTGAATTACTGTGAAATAATAATAATAATCCTGGTAACATTTGCTATCAACTATTAGTTATTTATCATGTCCCAGACCAAAGGCTTGCTATTGTATATATTCTTTCTCATATTACTTCATTTATTCCTGCCAACCACAAATAAGGGTTATTATGCCCCTTTTATTAATATGGAACCTGAAACTCTGGGGGTTGCTTGTCCAGGATCACAGAGTTACTACATGGCAATCCTGACTTTTGGGGTCAATGGGCTACCACCCTGCTACTCTACTGAGAACAGGGACTGCTGCTTACTTACTCCCATCAGTATAGCAAAGATGACCATCCCACATGGCAAAAGCTAATCAAAGATTGACCATCCAGTTGGCAAAATACTTATCCAGGTAAAATCAGGATAAAACGAACATTAATTAATCCCCCAAAAGGAGATAGGAGTTACAAGAGGATAAATCTCAAACCTGTAAGTAGGGACAATACCGTTCTGCACATTTTATAAGAAACACCACCTCTCAGCCTCTGTCCCCACCTGTTCTCTGCCTTATCCCACGGTGTGACCTTTGACATCTAATTTTCAGTTTTATGCTAATGTCATCTTACTGTTTTCTGTAAAGCATTTAGAATCATCCACTTGGGTTTGTCTTCAGGCTTATCTTTAGATCCATACTCAGATATGACTAAATCAATTTTATTTTGCCATAGCTGGTGAACCTGTTGAAAATTGTATGAACAGTGAAAATTTTATAGTAACACTTCCCAGTTGTTCCTTAGAAAAGAGTATTCAATGTCAGTTTGCTATGTTCTCCTTATTTCTAAGAGTTTTGTTTCTTTCTCGTATTTTTTTTTTTTCCGATCTCGGTAAGTATGAAAGCATTTAATCTTGCTCTTTGTGATCTATAAGAATATATGAGGCTTATTTATGATTAGGGAGGAAGCAAAATGTTATTCTCATGAATTTCTAAGTATTCTACATTTCTTCTTATAACCCTCAGAAAAATATGAAAGACAAATTTCTATAGCCTACTTTTCCAATCTGACCCCTGGCCCCAACCTAAACAGAATTTTAGTACTCCTACTGAATATATTCTTCTCTCAAAGACACTTACTTTTGGCATGTAATATGGGCTCTCAGGTGTCAATATCTAAGGTTTCAATTTTCTGTAGATTTGAAATAAAAGGATGTATTGATAAGGATTCACTTTTCGTACCTCCTCTTTCTTTGTGAAGATGAGTACTGAAAGTACAACTTGAACACCAAATGCCCATGTAAGCAGCACTGCATACTAAGACAAAAGAAAAAGAAATGACAGCTATACCCCTAATATATATCTTATTAGGTTGTTAGAAAAGTCACGATGTATTTTTCCTATGTTTTTCTATGCAAAAAAAAAAAAAAAATGTATCCTGACTTTTCTGGCAACTCAAAAGATGCTGCAATTATGGGATAATGAGTATCATATAAAACATTCAGCCTTAAAATACACAGAATATAGCTAGATATCACTGAACTTTCCTGCATTAATAAATACAAGTGAAATTACTGGAATAAAAAGGCAAAGAAAAAAGTCAACAAATATTTGGATAAAATTAAGATTGAAAGAAGTAACAGTATTGTATGAAAACTCAAACAGACTTCTTGGTCTAATGGAGTTGTGGATGAAACCATCTTAATTATGGTATAAAACTTTTAGAGAGAAAAATCCAATCATCTCGACCTCCACTTAGCAAACCATTTGACTCAGCTAGAGAATTCAGTACTTTTGTGAGCTATTGTGTAAACTATTCCATCATGCAGAGAGTAGAAAGTATTAATACAACAAAAAATAACTGCAATAACATCTTAATTCTATATGTATAGTTAGACAATTTATTGGAAAACTAAAAATATTTCTCTGCAAAGCCAAACAAAATAATTTTCACATCTATTAGACCATGTTCCATTTTAAAATTTATAGTCTTATTTTAGAGCAGTGCATATTGATATATATAATCTATAATTCACAATTTAAAAAGTCAGTAGTCTATTTGCTAAACAAAATATTAGTAATACTTTATTGTTATTAATAGCACACATTTTAAACATTTAATACTTTAAAATATCCATGTAAAATGTTCTATTCGACATAAATTATATTTCTGATTTTTAGACAAAAATTTATAAATAAATGTAAAGACAATGTCAGAAAACAAATGCTAGCCCCTCTTGCTCTGGGAACTCAGAGACTTCTGAAACTGTCTCAGCATCTTTTCGGTCTAAAAAGAGACTCTTCTCTCTCCATGCTACTACATTACAAAAATAATCTTTACATATATTTAGATGTTTAAATTTACATCATTTCTAAATCCAAGTTAAACTTCCTCTTACATTAGTAAGAGATGAGCAGGGGCAAGAAAAATTGTATAAAACAAAAGCATTACTGTCTTATAGCAGGGATATGTAAAATTACCTTTAAACCATGGACAGCTCTTAGGATCATAAGCTTTGTTCATGAATAAACTGTATGAGTTATTCTTGTTAAAGAAAAAAATGTATTCACCAGGAAAGTTCAGAGGAGAATAGCAAAAGGTTCATGATGGCAAAAAGCATGCAGTATTAGAAGGGACAGTGATGTTTGGCTCCGGGCCCTAACCTGTTGGATATTGTCATAATAGTGTCTACCAGACATTCTCATTAGGATGCCATTAACACTTGAACCACAGGAGGCAGACACTTGTGAGATGTTTTCCACCCCGCTTTGTTCCTCCCCCTGATCTCCAACAGTACAGTAAGTAGTAGAGGTGTCTGCATTTCCTTGGCCCAAATGGAAATGTGTAAAGACAGAAATCAAGGTTTTCCTGCCAGTCATTTCTCTCCTGATTTTTGACATTCAAAATCTAGACTCCAGTGAGAAAATTATAGTAAGTGTCCTGGAAAGAGAGAAAAATAAGATTTGAGAAGATAGGGTGGGCATTGGAAGATAAGGAGGAGTGAACCAGTCTCATTTTAGATGTAAAAGATCCTGAGACTGATGCTGAGGTCTCTGAGTTCCCAAAGCAAAGGGAGATAGCACTTCCTGACATTGTCCTGGTGAGGTGGTAAAATTAGAATGAAATGAGACATGGTTTCCAGGTTTGCTTAAAATGCCTGTGTTGGATGAATATTTAAATAATAGTAGAAATGATGAATAGGCAGGATCCAATCCCTATGTCAGGCATGGCTCCTTTATTAGCTGTCACTGGGGAGGTCTGAAGGTTTCATCTCAGGGAAGGGATACTGCAGGGATGTAACGAGGTAATGGCTATGACTAATCTTTCATGAACCGGTGGCACTGGTATACCTGCACTGGTGTACGCTGGATGAATAACAGCCCTACCTCTGCTACCCCAGGCCATTCAAACAGCAGAATGGACCAGGAGAAGAAACCAGGATTTAGCAGAATGGCTATGTCACTGGACTCCCATATAGTTTACCGCGGTTTGAGTCCTGGACTCGGTGGCTTAAACTCACTCCAGGCGCGCGAGCGTGTGGTGTGTGTGTGTGTGTGTGTGTGTGTGTGTGTGTGTGTGCCCAAGATCCCGAGAAGAGAATGGAGGAGAAGGGACTGAGGTGTGGCCATCCCCTGAGGGGGTGATTTCTCACTTTCTGTCTCTCTGTCTCTCTCAGTCTCTTTCTGGTGAGTGCACGCGCCTTATAGCAAAAAACCTCCCCCCCCCAAAAAAAAAGGTACCAGGAGAATCAAGGGAATGCATTTGTGGTAACCACTATGGATTGATAACCAGTGACCATCCAGACTTTCAGTATTACACAAAAGCTAAATTTCTTGGGCCAGCCTGTGCTGTAACAGTTAAGGCAGCTGCATCCCCTGTGGCTGAGGGCACAGTTCAAGTTCCAGCCCCAACAACTGGAAAGACATGCAGAGCACATTTGTGTGCAAACCCCAAATCTCCAAAAGATACATGGAGAAGAAGAGATTGCAGTGTGGCTATTACCCATGGGGGGAGTGACTTCTCACTCTCTAGCTCTGAGTGTGAGTATGTCTCTCCCCAGTGAGCACATGCACCCTCTAGCAAATTAAAAAAGAAAAAAAAAAAAAAGAAAAGGCAAGACTCTGTATTCTTCTAAGGAACAAAACATACACATTGGAAATTCCTATCTGCTAGGCTATGAATTAAAATCAATCTGATTTGAGGAAAATATTAAAAGACATATTTTGCCTGAGGGAGGATTATGATCCATAGTGCCACAAGTACAGTGGTTCATGTTCATCAGTATACTCAGGATTAAAATTTCTCTTTTCATGTTACATTTCTAGGGAGAGACAGTGTGTTAGCTAGTCTGGCCCTCTCAGCCATGCCTGACATAGGGATCGGTTCTATTTCTCTTTGTTAAATAATAAATTGAGGCTCAATTATAAGTTAGCTTTCCTCATGGAATGCCCACAGGGAGAAATGTGCTGAGCAGAGACCATGTTTTCATTTCCTTGGTGAGCTATGTTGCTCACTGATTGGAATACACTTTTCCTAATTATAGTCTTTATATTCTCACGTTTGGTTAACTATACCTCACCCTGGAGATAGATTCTCATTGAGTCTGTGTTGAAAATTAAGTACCTAAATGGACAGGTGCTGAGGTCCAGATCTGATCCATGGGAAACTCGCAAAGAAAATCCTATCTGAAAAAGTTTCTTAGGAGAGGAGTGCTACATTTGGTTTACCTCCAAGGATATGACTCTATGGCAATGCCATGAAACACAAATCAGTATTGATTATTTGTATAACTTGGCCCCTTACAATCTAAGATTCAAATTCAAGCTACTGAACTGAAATACATACCAGAATTAGGAGCCATCTGATTTTGTTGCGAATTCCCAAATAACCCAACAGACAAAGAAGAATGATTGTGGAGCCCATTCCAGTCAAAATTTGAGAAACATATACTATGAAGTGATGATTTCCATCTGTGGAAACCATAAAATTACTTATTATGAATAGATATTTTGTTTTCCATATCATAATAATTGTAGCAGCTCAATATTTCCTTAAAAAATGCTGAATATGAAGATTCTTCCTTTTTAAAAAGTCTTTTACCACATTCTAGTACCTCTTACTTTCAGTAATAATTTTTCTTTGCTTACATGATAGCAAATGTCTTCAATCTCAGGATACCTCTCTATCATTATCTTTTCTTCTATGAGCGAAAACAATTTTTTTCTGTATCTATATTCAAACACTCATTTATGCATTCATCAAAAAACTTCAGTACACAATATGTGGGTTAGGTTTCTTTTGTGTACATTTGGAATTCATTGCTGACATGACTCTTTGCAAACTATATTTTAGTATTTCTTCACTTAGACAGTAAGCTCTCAGTGCTGGAGACTAAAGGATGAGCATCCTTAATCCAAAACTCAGAAAGCTGAAATTCTTCAAAATCTGGAACTTTTTGAGTGCCAACATGACAATACAAGTAGAAAATTCACATGAGGGTGTGGGGCCCTTCTGTGATGGGTCATAGTTAAAATGCTGCAATAAAAAAAATATAAGGGAACCAGCAGTTAGCGTAATGGCTATGTCGCTGGACTCCCACGTAGTCTACCGTGGTTCGTGTCCCGGACCCGGTGGCTTAAAACTCACGCCGGGAGCGTGTGCATGCGTGCCCAAGATCCTGAGAGGATAATGGAGGAGAAGGGATTGAGGCGTGACCATCCCCCCTGGGGAGTGATTTCTCGCTTTCTGTCTCTATGTCTCTCTCTGTCTCTCTGGCGAGCGCACGCGCCCTACAGTAAAAATCTCTCAAAAAAATATATACATATAAAATGTTCAGGCTATGTGTATTAAGGTGTATATGAAACATTAGAGGATTTTGATTTCAGACTCGAGTCCCAATCCCCAAGATACTTCATCATATATATGAAAATAAATTTTCTGAAATCTGAAACACTTTAGGTCAAGCATTTCAGACAAGAACAAGTATAGCCAACAAACTAACTGGTGAATGTTTAGTGCCACCGTACCGACTAGAAGAGTAAATGCTCACCAAATATTTGTTTAAGAAAAAGATGAATAAATGAATTAGATGTGACAGCAGAGGAGTGGAGGAAGTGGTGTGCTACAGGCAGCTTGTGTGGGCTTGTTAAAACCAACCACCAAATTCTCACAAAATCTGCAGGCCAAGGGATTTCACACTGGCACCTTGAAATCAGTCATTGTGGGAGTATTTAAACTATGTGAATGTGCAAATGCCATGAATCAAGACCCTGCACCCCAAAATGGTTGCTAAACATTTCCTAGCCCACTAGTGGATACAGAGGCAGCTAATCCAGTAAGAAGAGGAAGTTGGAAGGTTTTCAGCAGTTTATTAGAGAAGGTAACACTTCTGTTTTAATTTTAAATTATAATTAGAAAAACACAGGTTGAAATGGCTGAAGCATTTATGAAACATACAATAGCACAATGTAGAAAATTCTGTTTTGTTGGCACTTATAATTTGAAGCAGTTGAAGCTGAGGGGTTTGAGGATGAAATTATAAGCACTTTGCGTGTTTCTGGTCTTGCTCACTGGAATTGGTCTATGAGGACAGACATTTTACTTTTTTTTTTTTTCAATAAAGTGTGTGCTTTCACTGGAGAGAGACAGAGAGAAGGAAAGTGAGGAAATCTCCCCCTAAGGGGGATGGCCAAACCACAATCTCTTCCCCTCCACTCGCCTCCTGAAATTTTGGAGGGCATGCACACACCTGCGCCTGGAGTGATTTTCAAGCCACCACATCCAGGATTCGAACCGCACCCAGCAATGTGAGAGTCCAGCACCTTAATCACTATGCCACCTGCTGACTCCCAAATTTTATTTATGTTTTTTGTGGACTATTGTCTCCTTGGCTCATGGGGCAGTGCCTGACATGTAGAAGATGCTCAAAAAATACTTGTCATGTGAATAAATAACAGCAATGGGGAACCAGATAAAGGTTTTTAATAGAGAAGTTATGTGGTTAAATTTGCATTTGAAAATATTTCAGTAGGACTTGAAAAATAACTGAGAAAAATCAGAGCAAAAGGCTATAGAAGACCATTACAGGGGCAGAGGATAAATAGTAACTTACATGGCATCATGTTATTACTAATGGTGAATTATTACCAATAGAGAGGGCAGAATTACTTAAAAAGAGGTCAATGAATTAAAATTATAGATAAAGAAGAGGGGAGTTCCCAACATCTTTTGCTTTAAACTGGCTATTTTCCATTCTAGATTGTAAAATCTTTTTTTTTTTTGGTCTTCCTTTACATTGGTAAT